ACACACACACACACACACACACACACACACACACACACACACACACACACACACACATTTTGCACTGTGATTTTGCAAACACACACGCACACATTTTGCGCTGTGATTTTGCGCCTGCATGCTCCATTGTACAATACATTTGGAAAGAGCGATATAACTTCAAGTTGTGACAGTAAAAGGGTCATGAGATCCCAAGGAAGGTATGCATGAAGGCTAGAGGAACATGAGGCAGCCACTGTGCTCACCATGCGATGAAGCGTGCATGCAGCTTGAAATACAAGAGATAACCTGGGGAAGTGTAGGGAGGTACCTATGGACTTGCATGAAGAAGAGTGGATGCAGCTTGCAACACAAGAGCACTTCGGTTTGCAACGTGCATGCAACGTGCGATGAGATGAGCAGGGACCCGGTTACCACAGATACTCCTCAACAAACATGAAAAGAGGGGAAGGTGCTTCAACCGATGATGGACGGAAGCCTGTGGTGACCATGGAGGGATGGAAGTAAGAGAACCAAGGGGATGGTGATGCTGCCTACAATGCTGCAACTGACGGAAGGGAGTGCCTTTCGAGTGCTTTAGTTCCATTCTCTCTCGCTTGCTCTTCTTTTCCCTTTCTCTTTCTCTTTCTTCTCCTTCCTTCCTCTCTTTCTTTCGTTTGTTTTCTTTCGCTCTTTCTGTCTTTCTTTGGTTCTTTCATTATTCTTTCTTCCCTCTCTTCTAGGATGCCGTGGAGCTGGAGCGTTTTTTCGTAATGTTGGGTTAGGGTCAGCTAGCATTTTCTCTTTTTCCTTTTTTTGTTTGCGCAGTGCATGACCGAATATTCTGAAAGCTGAATTGGCGAGTGACCACCTGATGCGGAAGGCAGGAACAACATTAGGTCTTAATCAATCCAACTGTGAGAGAAAGCGAGTCTTGAGCAGCAAGCTGGCATATAGTATAGGTGTTTTGTTAGACTTGCTGGTCTAGCGTTCATACTCTGCCTGCCATTGGGCATTGTCTGAAGCGTTAGCGTGCTGCTTTGTGCTGCTGTCGCCGGAGCTGAGCCTTTTCAGAAAAGAAAAATGGGGTCGTCGTATGAGGTAGGTAGCTATGGTGTGTCTGTGTCTGGGACAATGCAATTGGACTGGACGGCACAGGATTTAGCATACTTTCTTTCGAACAGAGTGGACGGAAATATAGTAAGATGTGATTTCCTCCCAGACAAGAGCCGAAAACTGAAGATTGCACACCCACTGCACAATGGAGATGCAGCAGCAGTGGCGTGTCCGGGCAGGCATGCTGGTTTTGGGTGGCGACATGCTCTTGTTGGCTTTTCGTCTGCACGAAGTGCCCACAAGGCATCGAAGAAGGAGGTTGTCATCCATACTCCAAGTGGGAGAGAACTTTGCCTTCACATAAGACTGGGAAAGCGACTAAGGCTGCTTGTAGATAGAGTCGAAGAGATGTTGAGAATGGATGAACGCGAGAGATTATCGTCGAAGATCCATCATGGGTTATCGTCCAAGGACAGCGACAGCAGGCAACGGCAAGCCCCACGTCAAACGGCAAGCGCAGAACGACTGGGTATCACTACTTCGCTCCCTGGCACAGAAGATGGTGACTCCCGTGGCCGCAAGGACAGCTCAAAAGCTTCTGATTTAGAACCATGGCTGAATCCTGTAAAGCTCAAGGAATGCACTCTGTATATAGGCAGGAGGAAGTGTCAACGAGCACATGGTAACTGTGAGACTGTTAAAGATGGGAACCCCTCCATGGCCATGGATGTGGCATGGGTCTCCTGTCCTGAGGCAGTAACACTCGAGTACGACTTTGGGGAGCAAAGCGTCAGATTGTCATTACAAATGCCATCGGCCAAGGAACCGCATGGTATGGACTCTGCCAAGAATTGCAAGCCGCGGGAGGTTCTTATGGAAATTCCATTTCATTTTATTGGTAAGAAGGCATTTGCTTGTCTGCAGCATGTGCTACTTGCGGAAGATCAGAGGGGAATAAACTGTGTTAATAATGAGCCCGCTCGCAAAAATGACGGTTTGTTACTCTACCTGGACAATCAACCATTCCTTTATGAACGCAGCATCTTATCTGTGCATGTGGCACCCAACTCTGGTGTCGATCCTCTCTCGTGGTCCAAAGATGGCGCCCACGTTTTGGTGCGAACAGGCGATTTCACACGGGACGCGGTTATCGGGTCCTGTGAACTGTTTGTTATCGTCTTTTCATCCAAGAAGGATGATGCATTAAGGAGGCTGCGATTCTTTGTCGAGGCTCAGTGCGTGCGATCCGAGTCCGCTGGCAGCTCCTACCCTGTGAATTGTCTCAAGGATGCAGTGAACGTCCAACTGCACAACCTGCCGTCTGTCGAAGGCGTTCCTTTGGCGGCTACGCTTACAGGAGGCGATACAAGGAGGGTAGGTGAAGGCATCACGGGCAGTAAGGAGGAAGTGGATAGTTGCAGCTCGGAAGTGTACTCTGTCGATGCGGCGTCTCCGATGGACAGAACCGTGAGAACACGCCAACCAGCAGCTTGGAACCCAGGGATGGAAGAAGCCATGAGAGACATCCCATTTCCAATTGCAGTTCAACTTGGCATGCTTATTGATAAGAGGATTGTCTGCAAGGAGTCGGTAACAGCTGCATTCTTGTCGAAGTTGCAAGACATTCTGCACAGGCTTCAGTCTGCCGAAAAAGCATCAATGACATGCGGTCGTTGCAGAGAAGACAAGGCAGTGGCGGTGGTGGAATCAGCACTGGCAAGCCTGATGATATCTAAATCACCTGAAGCAACAACTGCCCAAGGGATCGATTTCAGTAGCTGCCACTGTGTTGACCCAGCAGAGTACTTATCCAAAAAGTACGACGGGGATTCCGTTGCACAGAATGGAAATGGCAGTCCGTGTTGCGCAAATGCACAGCTTGGGGGGGACTGCGCCGTCGACACCCCTGCCGAGATGTCAGCCCATGCTAATGGGATGGGGAGTGAGGATGGCAGAGGTAAAAATAGATCCATTGAAAGCAACAGCAGTGCTCCCAGTTTTGCACTGATATACCGCATCCTAGTGACCCCTACGCGAGTGGTCTGCTCAGGTCGGCAGATTGAAGTATCGAACCGGGTTGTGCGGCATTTTCGCCATGTGGAAGACCGTTTCCTGAGAGTGAAGTTTGTAGACGAGCATTTGGAGGGAATCTGCCCCTGGGCACTTGTTGTCGGCAATGAGAAGCATTCGGAGAGACGCAGCGGAATCTACAAACAATTCCAAAGAGTCCTGCGGGATGGGGTGATGCTATTTAACAGACACTATGAGTTCTTGGCTTTCTCGACCAGCCAGCTGCGTGAGCATTCAGCATGGTTCTTCGCATCTGAGACTGGACAAGAAAGTCATAGCTTAATAGCAATGGAAGAGCATGTGCGATGTCAACGCCAGCTATCTCGTTTAAAGGCGATCGCCTTCATGGGGGGGGGATCGTCCGTTAGCGAACCGAACAGCTCGCTCTCATCTCTAGAACAGAATGAAATGATTGAGTGCTCTAGCAGTCCTGCAGCTGCAGACCCTCTGCTGCACGAAGGGGATGGCAACGAAGAGGATAAGAATTCGCGGGAAGATCGCGCGAGTGCAGCTGCAGTTACGCGTTCTGGAGCAGTAACAGCCAACGCAATCCGCGGCTGGCTGGGAGATTTTTCTTCTATCGGAAATCCTGCAAAATGCGCTGCGAGGATGGGGCAATGCTTCTCGGCGACACGTGTGGTTGCGGTGCTTGATGACAAGGAGATTGACTGGGATTTGCCAGATATTGAGCGAGGGGGGTACGTGTTCTCTGATGGTGTTGGAAAGATATCGCCTTCGTTTGCAAGAGAGATCGCTATGGAGCTTGGCCTCGTGCCACCGGATCCCTCAACAAAGCTACCGGGCCATCGCTACCCTCACAGCTGTGAGAAGCTGTCCGATGGTACCACCGGTCCCAAGCGGCCTGTCATCAAGATAAATGGTGGCAGGATGTCAAGCGAACACCAGTGGACTTTGGGACAAGGGTGGCAGCAGGTTCAGAATTTGGCAGTGCCGTCCTCGTTTCAGGTTCGCTTTGCGGGCTGCAAAGGCGTTCTAGCAGTCGATCCGACGCTGGAGACACTGCCATCACCAGCGAGTCACTGGGGAAAACCTGGAGCGAAACCGGCAGCGAAGGTAAAGATAGCCATCCGTCCAAGCATGAAAAAGTTTGAGTCTCCGCACCGCGAACTGGAGGTCATCCAGTGGTCGGGACCGCGCAAAGCGTATCTGAACCGTCAATTAATACTGTTGTTGTCAACCCTGGGTGTAAAAGATGAAGTCTTTATCGCGCTGCAAGAGGATATGGTAAAATCTCTTGATGTCTTGATCAGGAATAGCGGAAGATCGGTGCTGAAAACATTGCACCATCTGGGCGGCGACTGCGGTTCGGCAGCCTCGCGGTCCCTTAGCAAGCGGCTGAAATGGTTGAGGTCGTTGCACGATCTTGGTCAGCAAAATAAGGATCCAAAGGGAATCAGCATTGTCGCGAAAGACGCGATTCTTGAGAATCTCCTTGGCGACTTCGACAAGGAAGTGAATCGGCAAGTCCCACGACAAAGAGTCAAGAGCCACGGCGGAATCTCTTCTCCAGCGATGAGCATAATGATTGCAATGCTCGCAGCAGGATTTGATGCAGACACAGATCCATTCCTGCATTCTCTCCTCAGGTCCTTTTGTCTTGCAAAAAAAACAGACCTCGAACAGAGGGCGCGAATCCTCGTTCCGGCAGCTTGTCGTGCAATTGGGGTCATGGACGAGACGGGTACGCTTCAGTATGGAGAGGTGTTCCTCCATGTAACTTCCCGATTTTCCAATGGGTCAAGTATGCACTCAGCATCTCCTCTTCAGCAGTGCACTTCAGCCGGTCAAATCCGAACCCCGTATGGTTCAGCAACCCAGTCATGCTCTTCATGCTCTTGTGAGTGTGGCAAAGGTTCGACACACTCCGGTGCGATTTCCCATCTTGGAAAGCGACAACGAGAAGAGCAGACCTTGTCAGTCCGAGAATCCGCCCTTGTCCCTGCTGCGAAGAAGAAGGCAATCACAGTATCGAGTGAGGGTTGGATGAGACGTGATCAACGGTTGAGAAAGGAGATCACAAAAGGAGGTAGAGGAGGTAGCCAAGTCAGAGGGCGCGGGAGTAACGATACCGGCGTCGAGTTACCGGCAGATCACCCGCGGCCCTCAGCATGCAACTGCAGGTGCCATCTCAAGAATCGTTTAGAGAACGACCGTGGGGAAGAGGAGGAGAGAGGAGACGGGACTTTCATACCCAGTGGACGACGTGTGGTCTTTGCACGGAACCCCTGCCTGCATCCTGGAGACATCCGCACAGCGACGGTGAGGGATGTACCTGCGCTTCGACATCTAAGGGATGTGATCGTTTTCCCTCAACTGGGTCATCGTCCGCATGCAAACGAATGCTCGGGGGGTGATCTGGATGGTGACGATTTCTTTGTCTCATGGGATGAAAGACTTCTGCCGCCTCGATCAAGCGTACAACCCATGGATTACGATAGTGGACCAGCTGGGAATTCTCCAGCAGGTGCAGCAGCAGCAAGTGGTATTGAAGCAGAGCAAGAGGATCGGTGTGGTGTGAAGAACACAGTGGAAACGCCAATCAACATTCAGGTCAGTGTTTTCAATACATGGAACACAGATTTCTGGTCTCCCCTTGCTTCCATTTACACGAAATGGATGTCATTGCCCCACAAGACGAAGGAGCAAATACATTCATAGACTATGGAGCCTGGAGCAAGAACTCGTCCTT